TATAATAACAAAATTCAACATACCAGCATTGTTTAAGTATATGTATAGCCTATACATCCTTAATCAATAGGCAAGTGTTGCAGCATTTAATATAAATCATACGATAAATTATGAGTATTTTGATGTTTTATATGAATTTTTGATTTGATGCATTCTTGTATTTTAATAAGTTGCAACTTAGTTTTGTAAGGAATTATAGTAACGGTTTAATAAATGATAATTATTATTGACACACCCCGTGTGTCACAAGGTATGATACAAACGGATACGCAGGTTCATCTAAGCTCGCGCGAAATAATCGTAACACGTTGGTGAAAAATATTTTCATCCGTGGAGACTAGGCATTCGATCACAGACGCAGACATCGTTTCTGCAAAATCGACGCTGACGTGTTCTACAAACTATATAAAAATACAAAATACAAATGCCGTCCTCTGTCCTCTTTTGGATGACTTTGCGTCATTGCACTCGTTTCGACGGAAGTTGTACAAAATTCATTCTCGTTCGTCGGCAATCGAGCTCTCTCGTACAGAACGCTCTGTATTAAAAGTCATCGTGAGAAAAGAAAACCCGACTGTCGTCGAAAGCACACGCGTGTTTCACGGAGTTTGGCAATAGTTAGTTTACGGTATTGTCGCAAAAAGTTTTTCGGCCGTAGCCGAACAGCTGCACGGCCTCTAAATAGGTGTTCGTACAATTATTATATGTATACAATGTACAATAATATAACTGGTAATAATTTATACAATAGGTACTTAGTACGAAAGATAGTACGCGTAATATGTATAGCGTGTATATCTACAGGTAATAATATTGTCATCATTAAGTCAATGGTGGCCGTAGAACGAGGCCCCCGAGTATTTATACTTCATAGTCTCTGACGAGTAAAATATTCATTACCGCGTTCAAGTTATTTCCGGTTTGAATCCCGTCGCCCGTCGGGAAAACAATAGACGTTTCCGGTATAGCAGGAATAAAAAATAACTAAACATATACTCCCGCGGGATAGAAATTTCCATCATTTTCCCATCGGTTCAATGTTGAAACGAGTCTTTCGTTTTAATCGCTAACTTGAACGTCCATCGGTTGTAACTTGCTTTCTGGAAGAAGTGAAACTTTGCTTCTGACTATTTACGCTCTATGTAATTCGCGTACGTACATAGCTGTCGTGTTTCGCGAGAATGGAAAAAATATCACGAATTTTTGTTTAAAGAGAAACGTCGACGACAATCGACGGACCAGTCTATCGATTCTATTTTAAACAGTACCTATTATTATATGCGTATACATGTATACGTCTACTGTTCTCTTTCCTTTCACATATTTACATACGTCCGATACGTCTATATATTATATATTGTATTTGCGTGCTCTCAGGAAAGGCACGTTGCACGGAAGAGCATTCTTTTTGTTTGTTCCAACGAGATCCTTTAACCGAGTGCAGAACCGCGGATCCGCAAGAAATCGTTTGATAATTAATTATATACGAGTATAGTCTCGATAGTTACGGGAAATAAGTATTCTGCTAATTTAACGCGTTTCTTGGTCAAAATATCCGACGTTTCACAAGGCAAATTACGAATATACGTGATGATTTCTAATATAATTTACGTAATTCAGTCGCATGTGTCGTTTGATAAAGAGATCTAACTCGCGTTCGATATAGGATTATCGAGAGTGAGCATAAAAATGGTCAGATGAGGAGAAATGAACTTCGTTCTTTTACCGCTATTTCAACTTTAAACTCTATTCTACGTTCATATAAATTGTTCCTTGTTTTGATTAATCGATACAAGTCTTTAGAATCGTTACTTGGAGCGTTTAGAGAAAATCCATTAGAAAGAAGACTCGTTATATTCGCGTATTCTTTTCTCACTACTTACATGGTAGCTCTTGAATTATATTCATATTTATCTATATCTGTTGATTCGTCAAATTGAATGAGACTCTCGGTAGTCTAACGCTACCGGAAATCGAGAGCTTGCAGAAATAAACGCGTTCAATTATATTCCCCATAACTGAATTATGAAAATACGGAAGAACGAGAAATCAGGTGACCGATCATCCTTCTAAGTCACGAAAAAGCGTAGCGACTTTACGACGATCCTCTTCGACGAGAGACTTTCCCAATGATCGTTCCTCGTGCATCACAAGTAGCACGTTTTGTAATAAATGAAAGCGACCGTGTCCTTACCGAAAGTCCTGCACTCCCTCTCGTAGTGCACCTGGCCGGGCTCGAACCTACCGCCCTGCGGATACTTGTTCAATCTCGACAGACTTCTGTAGAGTCTCAGGTAATCGTCTTCGAGTTGGTCCTCCCTGTACCTCCGGCGTCGGTAGACGTCGTCGAACAATCTGTCGCTCCTCCAGTCGCTGCTGCTCGACGACAGGAACGAGCCAGCGATCGGACGATCTCGTATCCTCTCGTCCAGCTCCAGGTCCGAGAGGTCCTGCAGGCTCTTCAGATATCCGCGATAGTATCCGAGGGAATTGATCGGCGACTGATCTCTGAAATTGATGGTTCTGCTTCGACGCGGTAGGGTCGAGCTGTAGAGCCTCTCGCCCCTCGCGTGACTAATGCCGTTCTTCAGGATCGGCTTAGACCCGTTTAAGTTTAAGTCGCTCAACCCGTCCGCCCAGCTGCTCCTGTCCTCGTACAAGGCCGTGTAATCGCGTGGCCTGACTCGTCGCGGCTGCGCCTCGTAATTCGCGTCGGTGATTCGTTCCTGTGGGTGGTACGGGTTAACCGGGTACAAGGATCTGTCCCGGTGACGGTGATCTCGTCCGTAATGGCGACGATCCTCTTCGCGCCTCTCCGTGAATCGATAATCGTTGCTTCTGATCACGTCGCCGTTGCTTCTGTGCACGATTTGGCTGGTCACGTTCGCCCGGGCACTTTCGTCGGTCGACCGACGTCCCGGGAAGAATCCGTGAGACTGCATGAAGTTCTCGACGTTCTTGCCGATTCTGTTCGTCTTCTCGGCGAATATGTTGCAATAATCGGACAGTTTACGGTGATTGTAACTCCTGTAACCGGGGTAGCTTTGCCGCGAGGTCGTCGGGACTTCGGACGACGGATTCCCGGTGTACAGATCTCGCGGATCGTGCGGATTCGGGTAGGCTCCGCTCGGCAGAGGTTTATTAGACTTCTCTAAATTTGACAGCCCCCCTGTCAGCGAGGCCTTATACTACCGGGCTTGCGCGTACTCTGGGTTCATCTCGTCTAGCTGTTTACCCTTGGTCTCCGGCACGCAGCATACCACGAAACACAATCCGCATACTGCCACCGCCGCGTAGAACCAGAAGGCTCCGTGCAGCCCCAGCGTCTATAAGCAAAATTCTTCGTCTCGCGATCTTTTCTTATTACAAACCTGTACATCTTCGTTCAAAAATTTTAGGCCACTTGTCGTATTGATATGGGAAAGTTTCACGTACATTTCGAATTAGTGATCATCAGAAATTATAGTAAATCATGCAATAAGTCGTGAGCTCCTATGGGATGAAAGAATTTACATAATTGATACTCGAGAAATAAGTATAATAACACGGAGCATTTTGTTTATATGGAATTTGTTGTAGACAATTCGGAAGTGTCCTGATTCATAACTCACTTTAGAATACGTAAAGTCTTATTTAAAAGGAAACACTGTTGTTATTTAAAACTGGAATTTCACCCGTGCAACTGCGAGTGTAGAGAATTCTAAAACAATTTGATCTAACAAATCGTTTTTTTATATTTAATTCATTAAAACTTGTTCATTTATACTTCGTCGATGTTTGTACATTGTGTCTTAAAAATTATGAACGGTGATGTATATCGTATCATCAAGTATTTCATTTTGTGAACAATCGATCAAGCATCGTGGTTGATCAAATTTCAATCGAGTACCCAATGGTTGCGTTTAATAAGCAGTGGAGTACTTGGATGTTGCGCGGATTAAAGCATCTCACCTGCTGAAAATCCATGAAGAGCTTGATGCCGACGAACGCGCAGAAGTAGCTGAAGCTCGTGCTGATGCTCGAGCCGAGGCCGCGATACTCCAGGGGGAAGAGCTCGCCAATCAATAACCACGAAATTGGCGATATGCCCAGCGACAGAGCGGTCGTGAAGACGAGCACGCAGAGCAACGGGATCCAGTCGTGTTGTCCGACCACGGGCGAGTCCGGGTAGCCCAGATTCTGCGTCTGCGACATGTAATAAGCGTAGCTGCCGAAACCGGCCAACGCCAGCGACATGAACACGGTGCTCGCTATCAGAAGTGGTAGCCTCCCTACGATGTCGATCAAGAATCCTGCGAACATAAAGGAAGAAAATGATCCAACGATTATTTAATTTCACGTGTGTATTCACTTGTGTCATACACTTGTATCGTGTTACTGCGTATCATAGTTCTGTGTCATCGTTGCATACGTACGCGTATTTCCACTGCCGTTTATACAGTGTTCGTATACAGGGTGGTATAACATAAATGGAATTGATTCCACATCGAAAGATAAAATGAAAATGTAGGATAAAATTTGTTCACCTATGGTTTTGTTTCCAAGGAAATCGACTTTAAATTTCACTAAGTACATTTGATTATGTGTCAGCCTACCAAATTTCGTTATAACTTGTTCTTGGGAGTTAGATTCTTTTAGTATTACAGAATATTTAGTTTATATGTGTCAGCCTACCAAATTTCGTTATAACTTGTTCTTGGGAGTTAGATTCTTTTAGTATTACAGAATATTTAGTTTGTTTAATAAATTTTATTATTACAATCATCATCCTTTTGGTATTATATTGTCAGTAAATTATATTATACTACACATTGGAATATTACACATGGAAGTAGAACAATACAACACTCATAACGATACAAGAGTATGGCACAAGTTGATACGCGTCTTTAGAACGCCACGTTTCATTTCGTTGGATCGTGGCAAGTACAAGCAAGCGACGCGTATCTGTTATTGCATCGAGCAGCCATTCGTAAAAGACGGCATTCGATTGATGAATGGCCTCGGCCAAAGGGAAGGTTTACTGTACCTGATAACAGCGAAGCCAATAATTGCACGAAGCCAATCGCAATGTTCGCGCCGTGAGGATTCATGCCACCCAGGGTCTGGCGGAATATAATGACCGCGTAATAAGTGAACGCGTTCGCCCCGGAAAACCGTTGGAAGAACATCAGACCGCACGTGATGGCGATCGGTTTGTACAGCCGAGGCGTGAACATGCTATTCTTGAACGTGAGCTCGTACTGTTTCGCTCGCGAGGCGAGAATGTTCGTTTTGATCACCTGCAACAATCGAACGTTCATGCGTGGCACACCCGATGAATCGCAAGAGGGATGGAGGTGCCTATGATATCCGTTGAATCGCCGTTTGATTACAAAGCGACGTATTTTAACGCGTCGAACAGCGCGGACAGGCCTCTTTGGAAAATTACCTGAAGCTCGTGACGAATGTCGACGTGATCGCCGCGCAGCCACTGCAGACTGCTGGCAGCCTCGTCGTCTTTGCCATTCAGCACGAGATACGATGGCGTCTCGGGTATGAAGAGAGTACCCAAAAAGAGCATCGCCGGAGCTATGGCTACCAGCAACGCGCTTTGCCGCCAGTTCAGATACGTGCCCGCTATGTACGACAATAACACGCCGACGTGACCGAGCACCTTCAGCATCGCTGACAAGCAACCTCTGATACCAGGCATCGAGATTTCCGATATGTATACCTGGACGATAAAAATGTTGTTACGGCTAAAAGAAGATTGGACCATTAGAAAGTGAAATACACTATGCGCATTGCACGATTGAAACGATAGAAAGTGAATTTGCAATGAGATAACAAAGAATATGTTATCTCGATCTTAAACCGAGATGTCAAAAAACATATTTGCAGTATAAAGAAGAACATGACGTTTCCTGTCGGTTTAACCCTCCACGATTACATAAAATAAAAGAAACCACATGCAATTTCAAATTGTTTATAATACTTCAAGTTTAAAAATCGAATCAATCATTTTTATTGAAATTTCAATTTCGCAATAGTGATGTCAAACACCCCTGGGGTCCGTTAGAGATTAAAATCTGCAATAAGATCCGCGATAAATCAGACGACCGACCGGTTTGCAAGATATTCGAATTACCTGGGCGACCATCGTGATGACCGAACAACATAGGCCACCGATGAAACTGGTGACATAGACCAATTCGACGCAGGGTGCGATGCCCGTGAGGACCCAAACGGCAGCCAGGGGTAAAGACGTGACACGTAACGCCAATCTTCGACCCCTTCTCATTATCCAATTGCCGATCATAGCGCCGAACCATGCGCCCAGCATCGACAATGAAGCTACCCACGAGGCTTCTTGTTGCGTCACCGAGAAAGCCGACCTGCGACAAATTGCGATACGATTACAGTCGACAGGGACTAACGTTATGCGAACGAACCTAATCGTCCTAATACCAGGCCGCGTGTACCGCTCGCGATTAAGCCGGTGAACACGATCGATCGTAACGCATCGATCTTCGTAACCGGTTCAAGGCTAGACCAGTTCGTTGTGCTCGCGATTATTCTCAGCCCGCGTCGAGAATATCGAAACGCTCTCTCGTTATTTCCGTTATTTACGATATCGCGGGAGAAAATCGCGTGTCGACGTGGGTTGCGGGGTGAATTGATACATAACGAACCGATTTTTTCACCGGACGTTCACTGCCACGCGCTCCGTCCGATGCAGATTTATCATTTTATTTAAATTTAACAACCGCTCGCGGGATGTACATAGTAAATGCGCGTACGGATTGTGGACATTGTGGAGGCTCGCTGAACGACTAATGAGTCCAGGGTTTCTCGCTATTTCGCGCGGCGTGCTTCCTTTATAGCATGCGACGCGATAAAACGGAATCGCTATCGCGGGGAGAAAGTGTACGCGACGGCCACGGTTGAAAACGAACGCGGTGACGTTAATGCATTTGTTAAGTGAATTATCTCGGATATTTGCCCGCGCTTTATTACCGTCCGGCGAAATATCTCGTCGGGTTTATTTCATTTTCTTATCTGCCGGCCGGTGCTAATCGTTACCGGACGCCACGCGTATATAACTTACAATTACTTAGTTTCGCGGTCCTTGTTACCGCCGCTCGTTCCTCTGTTAAGGTGCGTATCCACTTGTATCCTCGTATCATCGTTCCGTGCGTTCTTTTGTCATATTGTTGTAAAACAAGAAGAGTGAGATAGGAGTTATCATTTCAAATAACAGAACTTATTGATTCTATTAAAATATCTTATATAAATTAATTGGAATTTGTTAAAATACAAACTTGTATTAATAAATTCCATCGAATGATTTCTTATACAGTGATATGATACGAGGATGTGCGGCAAGTAAATAGACTTCTTTACATTGTTGAGATATTTCCAAGTTTATCGAACTCGAAGGGCTACGTACCAGGTGTCGTTGTTTGAAGTCTGGTAAAGATGAGGTGGTTGGTTGTCGAGAATGGAGTCTAGGGCTGGCGAAGTGTAACCCTTTGCCAGGCCCGAAGATAGTGTTCCCATCGACAGTGCTAGGGTGGCAAGCACCTACACAAATACGCGAGTTTTTAGCATTTCTTTCTGTACCCTTCATTACAACCCTAAAATTAAAATGATTGACAGTCTATAAAGACTGTTCTATCAATTATATTTGATGAATGCTTAAAAAAAAGATATTAATCCTGTTCGCATTGCTCGCTGAAAATGAACCATTCCATTCGATGAGACAATCGTAGATTTCGCAGTTTAGATAGAGACGCGGAACCACGAATTCCTTCATCGACAAATATAGGAATGCCCGGTATGCGCATCAGGGGGGGCTGCATATTGCAGCTTGCAACCCGTCCGACAAATTGTTGGCCGCAAATTGAAAGCCAGGCACTACCCCTCGCGAGGAATACTAAACATTTGGACCGGGCTTATGTACGCAGCGATCGTTTCATAGCGGTCGTAGGAGGAAGCGTGACAATGCGAGCTGCCGGGTTTCTCCCGCATGCAGAAACCGCCGATTTTATAGCGCGCGGAGCCGAAATTACGACGCGATGGAATCTCGCGCACGGTGGAATGCAAAACGATGTTGCATCGAGTGAGTATCTCACTCTTCGCTGCGAGAACGTTCGGTCGAAAGACGAACGCGCAGCTGCGTTCCTGCGACGAACGTGAGATTTTCCGATTTCGCGCGCTCGTAAAACCGTTGAAAAATCAGCCTTCGAGACTAAAAGTTGCTCGCGCAGTAACGGCCGGCCATGGTAATTATTTAGAAAAGTTGCGAGCTCATTGTGTACCTAACTCTCGTGTGCCACTGCCTTTTCGCAATGTCTCTGCTTCGCTTGCGTCATCGGTGTTATTTGTGTAACTACAAACATTGTAGTGGCTACTGAACTCGTTCAGACTCCGAGAATATCTGGTGTATCATTCGAGACCGGTGAGACTTCCGGGACTCGCCCACAACCTCGGGCCTTAATGCCTCAAAAAAAAGCCGACAGTTCTTAATATCCGTGACCTACAAAATTTTAACCGCTTCGTTTAATCCCTCGGATCCGGATTCCAAAGTCAAGATTTCTTTTTCCTCAAGTTCTTTCTCTACTGGCTCGGTCGTACGTTGCACGATTTAAATGCGATTACATTCGAATAACTCGCGTTATTATTGCATCAATACGCGTTGCTTATGCATATCTACATCCTTGATTTTGCTATTTGTCGTATGACATAAGAAACTCGTTCGACCGTGCAAATCGCATTCTTGCCATACTCGAACAAAGCTTTTTTCAAAAGCGCTATTTAAAGGTGCGTATCCACTTGTATCGTATCCTCGTATCACTGTCCCGTGTCATCGTTACATTTCTGCCACGAACGAGAAGCGTAGGGACGATATCAACCCGGTCGAACCAGAACCGAGCGAAAATATTCGTGTCAAGGTGTTTGATTTTTCCCGCCGCGTTTCCCTTCCGTTGCCAGCGAATTTTTACACACGTGCGCACGTATGTCGGTCAGCCCGGCGCGAGAATATAATTATTTATGAGCTATAATTGTGGATAATGCAGGGTGTGCCTGCAATTATTGTGCAATTTTGCGCGCGATCCCGTCACGGCAGAGGTTGCTGCTTCGCGTAAAATAAATTGCCACGCTTAAAGATCGCGAGATAAATGCATTAATTCATCGTGAAAGAGGGGCAAAATTGTCAGGCAGGGGTTATTGAATTATGGCCTGGAGATAATTCAATTGCCGCGTAATGCGGTATTGACCACGTTCCTCTTGAAATAACCACCGTCGCTTTTACAATCGCGGAAAGCGATCGCCATTTACCACGCGTCGTTCGCTAAAAGTTTAGTAAATTCCTATAGGAAAGAAGTGGCACACGTTCCAGCTTCTAAATATCTAGAGAATCCCTCCGAGCCTTCCGCGGTGTAATAAATCTTTCTAGCTGAACGTTTCCAACGGTCGACGGGAAAAATTGCAAATTCGATCGTCGCGTACACGGTACAGCTTCGCCTCGGAATCCGTACAGCCGCGTCAGTCGCACCTGTTGTACAATTCTGTCGATATTTTCCGGCCGGCATTAAACTAGCACGGTCAGCGGGTTCTATCGGGTTCCCGCGTCGCGTCCGTTACCGGCTTCAAGAATTTTAACGCCGGTCCCACGTAAATTTGCATAGCCATTCGATTATTATTTTCGCCTCCCACGACTCGACAGGCCGTGAGTCAATCCGTTGTGAGCTATTAAACGCGAGTATGTCGCTAACCCCGTCACCGTACAGGCTTGTCGATTCTGTTGTATGTTTAAAAAATGCTCGAGTGCCGACTTTCTCGGAGATTTTTTATTTAATTGCATAGGTGATACGAAAAGTGACTTAATATTTATCGTTTATTGTTATAAACGAGATTAGACTGCAGATTTTATAAAAAAAATCAAAGTTGCATACAATATTCAAAGGTGTACGGAATATATATTATTATTTTTAATTTCTATATTCGTTTTCTAAACTTACATCGCGAATGTTTCATTCTGATTATTATTATAAACGAGAAGCAATTACGTGACTCATAGTTGTCGATTTACGCGATTCTCTTTCTCCCCGTTGCGATATTGCGTCCAACTGGTGAACCCAGCTTCCCGACGCGTTTAACCCCGTTGATGCCGACGTTCAGTACACGCAATGCGCTCGATGTCTGCGGCCTGCTCGTAGTCCGAGCACTTGCGCGCGTTCATCAAACGCATTATGTCTTTGTTAGGTTCTTTCGGCGGCTGATCCGAGATTAAAATTAAATCAAGAAAGTCCCCGGGGCCAATGGCGTGCAGTTAATACCTAACGATGGGTATGCTCGATATCAGAGCTCGCCCGTTTGATATAATCGCGCGAAGAGCGACGAGACGCGCGGTTGTAACGAAGCAGTTTGGTTCCGTGCTCCGAAATCCAATAACGGGGATGGATACCTAGTTACTGTTGTCGGATGCGATTATCTTCACCGACTAATTGGTGTATAATGGACAACATCAAAGTTAGAAACAGCGTGAACGGATCAGGGTAATTATTTCAGGTCGAGCGTTTCACGCGCCCGGGCATGTTTTGATGCACGACCTGCATTCAATAATCCTGAAATCTAATTCTCGTTGGTGCGCGATCGGGAGAGGGTAAACGGATTTGTATCGCCGGTGTACACGGTTCGGTTTGTTCTGCTTTGCAAATATTGATGGCGCCGTTAGGGGCTCGAACGATAATAAAATGCCGTGACGCTCGCTGGCGTGCAAGCCTTTTATCAACCGCAATATGTATCGCGGCTTAATGGGAATCGCTTTAACACCGCCGATGATAATCCAATTTTATGAGAATTCCGTGAAACTCTCTTTCGATTGATTATAAATAAGTCGAGGGGCATTGGCGTAAGTAGGAGGCTTCATCTTTCACTGTTTCCATTTCGAACTGAGTATTAGCATATTTTTTGTAACAGCGAAATCTTAATGAATACATTTTTACATATTTCGATAATTTATATACTACGCCAATGAAGGCATCTTTGCCAATTAATTATTAGAACTTCTCGAAAATAACAACTCTGTTTCTACGTTGAATCTACTGGCGAAGTTACTAGCCGTAAAGCAGAAGCAAATGCTCCGTGCAAAAGCAAATTGCACCCGTTTCTGGAACACTGTTCTACTCTGAAAGTTCGAACAAACGTTCCCTGCCAAGTGGTATGAATTTCTCTGGTACATGCAAAGCTTTCCGGCGCGCGTTTCTTCTCGGTACAACGTTAAAAGCTCGTTTGCCTGGCCGAACTATGTGTCTCGAGCCGGGTCGATGTTAACTAGGAAAGCCATTAGCTTAAAGTTGTTAGTCGGCTTTGCTCTGGCAAAGAAAAAGTCTCAGCAGGAAAAAAGAACTTGGAAAGTTCTTTGAATATCGGTATTATAAAAATGGTTGATAAACTATCGTATCATCGAGTATCATAGTTGTGTACGTGCACTCTCGTTCATAAATTCTAGTACATATAATAAATCATACAATTAATCAAATAATAAATCCTGCAATAAATCATATAATAAATCATAAAATATGAACTGAATTGATTATATTTCGAGTGAAAGAATCTAAGCAATTTTCGTATAATTAAAAAGTTTATCATTTACTATAATCTTTCAATTGAAACAGTCTTTGGCGGTGACTGATTTGCGATATTTATCAAATGCTCTGATAAACGATAAGCGCTTATAAGTATCCTAAGGCTTATTATGAACTATACAAGCTTTAAACTACGCACTATGCGTTGTGCCAGTGGGAGGTAGGACGTTACAGTTAAAGATGTGCATTTTAAGCTGAGCCACTCAATTAAACTTCGTAGCTATCTTTGTTATTTGCATACCGATATGGACCTTAGCCAAGTACGATTCTCATCGACCGATAGGTCCGGATTGTTCACGATACATACACACTGCCCAGAGAAATGAGCACAGGATAAAATCTTCGGCTGGTAATAATCGCGCTTGCAATGGATTTCACAGGCTGCATTTGGCAGACGTTCTGTTCGCGCGGGAATAGCTTACATGCAGACTTTTAAAACTGTTAAAATGTTAAGGATGTATTGGCTATACAGTCAATCCCAAAAGTTTATGTACCTTAGTAAAACGCATTTCCTATAATTAAAAATAGTGCACTTTTCTTCTAATTTCGATATTTAATGAGTTAAGTA